TAGATGGTGCCCACCCAGATTGAGGGTGGGTCTGTCTCTCCTAGTCCTCTGACTCAAATGTTAATCTCCTTTGGCAACACCCTCACAGACACACTCAGAAACAGTACTTTGCATCCTTCAATCCAATCAAGTTGGCACTCAATGTTAACCATCACAGTGCTCTAGGGATATTTGTTGAATGTATGAACACAGCCAGACGGACGGGGACTGGCTTCATAAGGGTGCTATGCCAGACCTCATATCTGCTGCTCTGGAGTATTTTCAGGTCACCTGGAATCCTGGCAACCCAGTGGAAGTTAATAATTTATTTAAAAATATTTATAATTTAATATGTATAACCCCTAGTTAGGATTTAGTATTAATGATCATCTTTCTATATTAAAATTATTCTAAAAACAGGTTGAAAGATAAGTTATCAGCTGTTTGCAATTATTTGAAGATAATCTCATGGAGGAAGATGAGAGAGACAAGTTACACCTTCCTGTGTTGCCAGAGGCACTGTAATCCCTCAAAGGAAGCAATTTGGCAATATATATCACAAGCCTTAAATTGTCTATATGCTCCTTAAAGCTGCCTATAATATGGTAAAACTACTTTCTCCTGGCCAAGGGGTAAATATGCACAATCCTTTTGGAAAGCAATTTGACTGTATCTAGTTAGAGCCATAAAGCTATATTTCTGAGGCTCTAGATGGTGTCCAGTTAACTTCAGGTCATTTTCAGTTAATGAGTCATTAACTTAATGGCCACTTCCTCAAAGACATTTTCCCTGAACCACACCTCACCCTCAAACCAGGTACTCTTTTTCCTCATTTTTATAACATTTATCATATCTGTAATGACTTCTCCAACATCTGTCTCCTTTCCTAGGTTCTAAGCCCCAGGCGGGTAGGGGCAGTACATGCTTTATTTGTCTCTATGTCCTTAGGGCTAACACAGTGCCATATGCACCTTAAGATCTATAAATAATTGTTGAATAAAATGAATAGAGAAAAATAATTCTAAATAAAAATAAATTTAACCCAAAGGTAACAATATCAATAATTAATGTTTATAGAGAGGTTAATATTTACCTGACCCTGTTGTATGTGCCTGTGTGAAATGGGCACTACAGCCCTTGCACTTTTTCTTACAGATGGAAAACTGAGGCCTAGGGAGCTTAACTAACTTGGTCCAAGTGAGGCAACCAGCTAATAAATTGTTTATCAAAACCTTATTTATGATAGCGAAAAATTGGAAAGAACCTACGTGTTATTTGAATATTTAATACATGCAGTTATCAGAAACTCAGTTTTCCTTCCTTTTTTAAATAGACAGATTTATTTCTTTTTTATTTTTTATTTTATTTTATTTTATTTTTTCGAGACAGAGTTTTGCTCTGTTGCCCAGGCTGGAGTACAGTGGCACAATCTGGGCTCACTGCAACCTCTGCCTCCTGGGTTCAAGTGATTCTCATGCCTCAGTCTCCTGAGTAGCTGGGATTACAGGTGTGTGCCGCCACGACCAGCTAATTTTTGTAGTTTTAGTAGAGACAGAGTTTCACCACGTTGCCCAGGCTGGTCTTGAACTTCTAAGCTCAGGCATCCACCTGCCTTGGCCCCCGAAGTGCTGGGATTACAGGTGTGAGTCACCACACCTGGCTAAGAACTTTGGTTTTCAAAAGATGTATAGTAACATAGCAAGATGGGTGCAATATAATAGTTACTGGTCCCATTCAGACAAATGGATATGGCTGTGACAGTGTCCTTTACTGGCACAGTGCTACTCCTTGCTTGGGTGCCAAGGTCATAGCTCTTGCAGTGCATACCAGCTGTGTCAGGGTGGGGCAGAGGAAGCTGAACAGAGAAAGTAACATCTGGAGGTAGGGAGTGCTTTAGAGACAGGAAACTGAACACGTCCTGAAATGAGAGGGAGTGTGAGCCTTCTAGGAAGTGAGAGAAATTCAGTGGGTCCAGAAGGAAGTTACAAGCGATGAGGCTGGAGAGGTAAGCAGAGGCCAAATGGAGAGGACCTTTGGGCCTTGTCCTGGGGCAGCAGTGTCCTGCTGTGATCACTGCAGGATTGGACGTGGCAAGTGGGAGGCACCAGCCTTTTCATCCAGAGAAGATCGAGGGATTTGTTTGGGTAGAATTGATGCATTTCTACTTTTGTTAGAAGAGCCGGCTGGAGACATGAGGACTAAATATGGAATGTGGAAAATGGAAAGAGAATTCTAAGATTCAAAGTCTTGGCCTCAATATCACATCCTGTCAAGGGAGCAAATAGTGTGAAAATGAAAGTAAAGCCTAAGGATGATTATTTTTCAGTCTGAAAGAAAACCTCTGCTTTCTGCGAATTCTGTCATAAAGTTAGCATTTAGCCCCTTTTAACCTGGTTGTTTGCTCTCTGTTTGAGACGTCTTAGTCAATCCAGATCAGAGGTTTAAGACAGTAATTAGTTATATTCTACTGTGTTTGGAGAATGTTAGTTCAGGCTAAGGGTTTTTCAGGTATGATAACAAATGTGGCATTTTATAACTTGGAGCGCCCTCAGTTCTAAGATCCAAAGGTGATTAATGGGCTGCTCTGTTTCAATGGTGGTGGTACCCCCTCCAAACTTCACGTTGAAACTTCACCCCCAGTGCAACTGTATTAAGAGGTGTGGCCATTGGGAGGCAGAGCCCTTATGAATGGGATTAGCACCCCTATAAAGAACTCAAGGTTGAGGGGGGTGCTCTCCTGCCCTTCTGCCTTCTGCCATGTGAGGACACAGCAACAAGGTGCCATTTTGGAAGCAGAGAGCAGCCCTCAGCAGACACCGATGCCAGCACCTGAAACTTGGATTTCCCAGCATGCGGAACTGTAAGAAAAAAACATTCTGTTCTTTATAAATTACCCGGTCTCAGGTATTTTGTTATAGCAGCACAAATGGGCTAAGACATGGGCTTTAGAAATGTCTTGAATGTTTTATACTTGTTCATCAAGTATAATATCTGGAGCAGGAATTTCACATCTTGAAAATACAGAGGGATTTTACAGAGAAAATGAGAAAAAAAAGAACTGTCTTCTTTACTATCTCCTTGCGGGCTGCTTTTACTATCACTGCCCACACAAATGTGCTACAGCATGCAGTTCAAGAACTTCCATTTTCCTCCTTATACCTTTTATTACTTATGGAGTGCCTGCTTGTCTGTGATTAATACCTCTGAATACACATTGAATCACCTGGGGAATGTAGGTGAAACAAAACAAAACAAAACATATGCCTGGCTCATTTCTGCAACCAAAGAATTGAAAGTAGAGTCTCAAAAACATATTTGTACATTCATGCTCACAGCAGCATTATTCACAATAGCTCAAAGGTGGAAGCAAGCCATGGCCATAGATCAAAAGATGGATGGATAAGCAAAATGTGGTATATTCATACAATGGGATATTATTCATGCTCAACCTTGCTACCACCTGGGTGAGCCTTGAGGACATAACGTTAAGTGAAATAAGCCAATCACACACACAAACACACACACACACACACACACACACTACTCTATCATTCCACCTGTAGGAGGTACCTTGTCAAAAATCAGAAAGTGGAGGCTGGGCGTGGTGTCTCATGGCCGGGTGCGATGGCTCAAGTCTGTAATTCCAGCACTTTGGGAAGCTGAGGCAGGTGGGTCACCTGAGGTCAGGAGTTCGAGACCAGCCTGGCCAACATGGCGAAACCCTGTCTCTACTCAAAGTACAAAATTAGCTGGACGTGGTGGTGTGCACCTGTAGTCGCAGCTATTCAGGAAGCTGAGGCAAGAGAATCTCTTGAGCCCGGGAGGCAGAGTTTGCAGTGAGCTGAGATCTTGCCACTGCACTCCAGCCTGGGCAATAGAGTGAGACTCCGTCTCAAAAAAATATATAATAAATAAAATTTAATAAATAAATAAATAAATAAAAAGGAAGTGGAATGGTGTTTGGCAGGCACTAGGGGGAGGAAGGAATGGAGAGTTAACGGGGAAAACTTAATGCGATAAAGCAACACTTGATTGTAAAATTCTTAAGAAAAATTATCTGATGGCACTATCAAAGAATATTTGGAAAAAGAGGAGCAATCCACCAACTGTTAAACCGTACAACCGTAGGTAAAATGGACTGTAATTGTGATCTGATAGTGAATGGGCACTGCAGAAGGGACTCCATGATTGATATGTTTTCCTGTGACTTTTTTGGTCTTTTTTAGTGTAAGTCTCTTATTTTCATCTGCAGAAAAAAAGAGACCAGTACCTAGTTGTAGTGTTTCTGATAGGATTACGTCCAGAAAGGGCCAGGAAGCTAGGTACAAGATTTATCTCTGCCAAAGCTCACATTCACTCCTGGGCTTTTTTTTTTTTTCCCCTGGACACACATTTTCAGGCACATCTGACTGGAGAGTAAATAATGACGGAATGCCTGTTATGTACAGGGCCTGGCGCTGGAAGTACAACACTACAATTTTGATAAACAAAAGAACGTAGACCCTGATGCCGTCGTTCGTATATTCTATTGAATTTATCTATTATAGCTATTGATACCAGAGGACATTAAACAATTAACCGAACAATAATTACTAAGGATTACCTATTATTTATTAATTACTTAGTAATTCTGAAAGAGTCATACTTCAGGGGGGTTTTAGACATACAAGGCACTGAACCAGTTTGAGGAGATTAATGGAGACCCTAGGAGGGGACATTTGATCTGAACCTTGAAAGCTGAGTTTGTATTACCATCTCCCGTCTGTCTTCATTCTTTTTTATTTTCCAGCCTTCTTATACCTCTCTTTGCCCTCACCAACCGCCTGGGTTATAATCATCTTTCACTTATAAGCTACTGAGATATAGCTTGTAAAGAGTGGTAAGATGACACTGTTGACAGCCTCCTTCAATCCAAGAATGAAACTCTTAAAGGACAAACAACTTACTTTTTACTGGATCAAGATTAGAGAAAGCTGTCTTTCACAAGTCAAATTTAGTACCTTGTTTTTTTGTGTTTTCAGCAACTCAAGCATCCCAACCTTGTCAACCTTCTGGAAGTCTTCAGGAGGAAACGGAGGCTTCACCTGGTGTTTGAATATTGTGACCACACAGTTCTCCATGAGTTGGACAAATACCAAAGAGGGTGAGTGATCCATCCCTTACAAACAAAACAGAGACACACTGGGATTTGTCAGTGAAAAGTGGCAATGACTCTTCTTTTTTTTTTTTTTTTGAGACGGAGTCTTGCTCTGTCACCCAGGCTGGAGTGCAGTGGCCGGATCTCAGCTCACTGCAAGCTCCGCCTCCCGGGTTCACGCCATTCTCCTGCCTCAGCCTGCCGAGTAGCTGGGACTACAGGCGCCTGCCACCTCGCCCAGCTAGGTTTTTGTATTTTTAGTAGAGACGGGGTTTCACTGTGTTAGCCAGGATGGTCTCGATCTCCTGACCTCGTGATCCGCCCGTCTCGGCCTCCCAAAGTGCTGGGATTACAGGCGTGAGCCACCGCACCCGGCCGGCAATGACTCTTTTTAAGACTAGGTAAGGCCATGGGTGGTGGCTCATGCCTGTAATCCTAGCACTTTGGGAGGCTGAGATGGGTGGATCATCTGAGGTCAGGAGCTCAAGACCAGCCTGGCCAACATAGTGAAACCCCATTTCTACTAAAAACACAAAAATTAGCTGGGCGTGGTGGTGGGTGCCTGTAATCTCAGCTAGTCGGGAGGCTGAGGCATGAGAATCGCTTGAACCTGGGAGGCGGAGGTTGCAGTGAGCCGAGATTGCGCCATTGCACTCTAGCCTGGGTGACAGACAGAGCTAGACTCCGTCTAAAAAAAAAAAAAAAAAAAGACTAGGTAAAAACAGCCAGTGTTTGTACAATATACTCTGCTGCTGAAGTGGACAGCAGACAAATTACCAAAAATGTTAACAAAAGAGATAATAAATAGTCATTTTAATGAAGAAACCAGCGGAAGCATCATTAGATTGAACTTGATTTCTCTGGTACTTTATCTCTGCATAGAAGTGATCTCAGTCTCTAAGAAAAGGAAGGATATTAGTTAGTCTGTGCCTGACCAGGGAGGTAGAAGGGCTTGGAGATTGAAAGGAAGATTCCAAAAGCAATGGCTACTAGGAAGTTTGAGACTAAAACAAACATAGTATTTCATCAGAAACAATCTGGGTGTCTAGTCTGCTGTATTACTCAGGATTTCTTTGGTTTCAGGTGACAAAAACCCAACTGAAGCAAGCATAGGTGAAAAACAATTGTGTTGTGACTGTAACTGGGAAGGGTGGGAGTGACTCCTGGGGCTCAGCTGATCTTACCACACATCTCTCTCTAGCATATGCAACATCTTTGCATGCATTGGAAGAAGACTTGGCGAACAGACAGAGGCTTTGTCCGAGAAAAAGAAAAAAGGAGGAGGGGGTCCCTTCTTGCAGTTGAGGGCAGCCTCTTGCAGGGTGAGAAGACTGGATTCCAGCTCCCACCCACTCCTCAGCTGGGTGTTTTCAGGCAGGGCAGCATAGGTAGTGCCTGTTCTTTCTCTCACTCTCTCCCAGCCCTAATTCTTTTTCATTGTGCCTTGCAAATAAGCTTCCCTTATGTGGTGGATTTGGGAGGGCATGTGGGTGGCATGGGATGGAAGGAGTTTGGAAGGGAAAAGTACAAAATAGAAAGCATGGCCACAGGCTTATATCAATCAATATAGCTGTTCTAGAAGAAAGGAAGTTCTAGAAGAAGGTAACATCTGCACATTAAGTCCAGTGGAACTCCGATTGGCTAAGCTCAGGTGACACAACTGTCCCTGGGGCCAATTACTGTGGCTAGAGGAAGAGGACGGAATGATTAGCAGGTCCTGGGAGATATTATTCAAAGAAGGCTTCATGGTGAAGGTGGCCTTGGAGTTGAAAGGGGAAGAGACTTTAGATAAGGTAACCAGGGATGAAAAATATCCCATCCTTTCTTTTTTTGGCTGTGTTCCTGGGAGCCCAACTTTGGCTGAGGACAATATGAAGAGTAGATTATAGATTAGAGCCACAGAATGGTGTCCCATCCCATGGAATGTGAATGGCTCCCATTCACACTTCAGTGGCTGGAGGCTGAGGCTCCTCCAACAACTCTTTCAAGTCTTTGCCAGGGGCTTGCTCTGCCACGTGGTGATGGTTATATATGGTCTGCCATGACCTTCAGGCAAACAGAATGGAAGTGGCTTGTGGTTTGATAGTGACCATAGCACAGACTTTTCATGTTTCAGAATGTTAATTTACATAGCCAGAGAGAGCCAAGAGGACAGACACCTCCCTTCAGAAAGTCATCGATACAGAGAAATTATGTTTTCAAAGGAGAAAACATTTCGTATGTTGATATTTGATCTTTTGACGGCTTGCAAGTGACACTTCAATTAAACTTATTAATATAATTTACTCATGGCTATGTGGTAGCAGAGGGATGTTACAGGGAATTTGATTAATCATGTCGAATGAATTGGGAACACTGATTTGTGGGAGTCAAAAGCAATGGAAGTCAGCTCTTTTTTTTGGCATATAGTTTGAGCAGAATAAAAAGGGTGATTACAGTTTGAAAGCAGATTTTTAAAAACTCCACTGGCTAAAATATGTTATATATGTTCCAGGAAACAGAAAATGCTTTAATATGGGAGTGGGAGAAAACAGAAAGACCTATAGGTAAATGTGTGGTTAATTAGAAGCAACCTCATTTCCAAATGGTAAAATGCTATGGTTTGCCAAATATAAGATTTACTTAAGGAAATCGGCCCCCGGCAGGCCTCAGTGTGCGTTGTTCCCCTCCAAGTGTCCATATGTTCTCATTGTTCAGCTCCCACTTATAAGTGAGAACATGTGGTGTTTGGTTTTCTGTTCCTGCATTAGTTTGCTGAGGATAACAGCTTCCAGCTCCGTCCATGTCCCTGCAAAGGACATGATCTCATTCCTTTTTCTGGCTGCATAGTATTCCATGGTATGTATGTACCACATTTTCTTTATCCGGTCTATCATCATATGAAAACTTTTTATTTTAGAGACATCATACTGTAAAATAAAATTTTGTAAGCACATTCACAGTAAAGGTGAGTTAGCATTATCTGTGTGACCTTGGGCAAATTGCTTACAGGTGTCTTCACCTGTAAAAATGAGAGTTTAGGACTAGGGAAAGTTTAAGGGACTTCTAGATGTATAATGCTATGAATTGGTGATCAAGTACCCTAGGGGTCAGAAGACTTCGGTTATCTTTCAGTTTCATATTTGATCTATTAGACAATATCAACAAAGGATAAGCTACTGATGCTGGTGTTGTCAGGTTGGGTTACCAGCCTGCTTGGTGCCAGGTGGGGTCCCCTTAGGTTAGTATACTCACCCTCAGAATGCCCTGTGATCACTTCTTATATTTCTAAGTACAGATTTCTAAAATACAAAGTTGAGCATGCCACCCTCTACACAGAATCCTTTAATAGCTCCCCAAAGCTTACTGGTATGGGGAAATGCCCCCAGCATGAGATACAAGATCTTACTCTACCACCCCACTGCCCACCAGTTTGCCCATAATACATGGCCCGTCCTACCAAATAGCTTGCATTCTAGGGTTCAGGACATGCTGTTTGCTTAGCAAGCATGGGTTTCCCTACTTCCTCTACTCTGCCTGGAAAACTCCTGCTGTCCTTACAGCTCACATATGACTCCCTTATGATGCCTGCCAGCACACTGACCTCTATAACATCTTCTGGGATTATTTATTTACATATCCCATTTGCCCAGTAAACTATACAATCCTCAAGGGCAAGAGCTGGGCCTTCCTCACCTGTGTATTCTCAGTGTCTTCTAGCTGCATATTTGGCACTTGGTACACTCAGTACTTGTAGAATGACTGAATTAGCAAACCAATAAATTGATAGTTACAAAATGATTTTGAAGAAGAATAATCATAACAAGGTTTGGATTTTCATTTTAAAAATCACTTTGATTTAAAATTTCTAAAGCCTAATATTGTCAAAAAAGATTATAAAGTACACTGCTGGAGCAACCTGTCCAGAAGGCAATTTGGCAATCAATGTATGGTATTAAAAGTCTTAGAGGCATTATCTTAAACCCAGCAAGTCTACTTTGAATGATTCACCATAAGAAAATATTTGAATATATGTGCAAAAACTTAGTTACAAAAGTATTTATTGTTATGAGATATTTTTAAGTATTGTTTATAAAGAAAAAATTGCCATCAACTGAAATATCTAACAATAGAGAATTAGTTAAGTAAATTATGATAAAGTTTTATGATAGAATACAGTGGACCCAGTAAGAATAATGCTTATATTAATAGATAAAACATATATTGACATAGGAAAAAGTTCATGAGTGCTTGTCAAATGAAAAAAATTATACTCTAATAAAAATACATATCATTTCATTTTCGTAGAATTTATATGTAGATGGGAAAAAAGTAATAAATCTGAACATTACTAGTGATTAGTTATGATTGTTATTGATATTTTTCATTTTATTTGTGCTTTTGTATTTTTCATGTTTAATTTATTACTATAGTAATGTTTTAATGTTTAGTTATTAAAAATAATTCTTGCCAAATCAGACTCAAAGACTTCTCATTTGAACCTGAAATGGACACTAATTCATCTTCTTATTAACATGCTTGTAACTTCTGGTACTCCCTTGGAAAGCTTTTGGAGAAGATCCAACTTCATGTTGCTACTAACACAAGCAAGTTTACACCACAAGATATGTATCCTGTTACAGTAACATGAATACATGTCAATTATAATTCCCAGTGCTTAGGTTTATGTTTTTATAATTGTCCCCAATCACAACCATTTCTTGTCTTATATAGAACTTAAAAAGCTTTGAATCTATTATTCTATAAATGATTGATCTCCCTGTGTCAAAGTTTTACAAATAACTGGTTTGGATGTTTTCTCCTTATTTTTCTGCCTACCTGTATGTTCAGCCAGACATAAGACTTCATTGATTCTTTCCTGCACAGATTTAACTACCACCAGTTCCTTCTCTGAATAACATAGTTTGTTCAAGGAACATCTCCTGGGTAATGTACATTACCGCAAGTTTCCAGTTTCTGACAGTGAAATTCCAGAAATGTTATCTTTTATAGATTAAAAATGATAC